AATGTCAAGTGAGCGTGGTGAGAAAACAGTTATTAGATGGGAAGTGAACCGATACTGTTCATATTAGCCCTCTAACAAGTCGTAGGTAAGGGGTAGTGGGTATGTGGTGCGCGCATTAGCGCGCGTAGCCCAACTGGTAATTAAAAAGACCGCAATGCGCCCTAGTACGAAGTTCATTCCATTTTCATCCTCTTCCTGAATGTTGTACAGTAATTGGAGCTTTTCAGCAAATGCTGGTCTGCTGTTATGGTCGCCTCATACAGGCATAAATGAATGCTCGATGTATCAATACTGCTGCTTCTTCATGCCCTCTTCCAAACCTTTTGACGAAAGATTTAAAAATGGGAAATCGCGGTCCCCGAATTCACTGACAGAAGTAGATGGAGGATTGAAATAAGAAATGAAAATTTGACAGCACTCAATATGCATTGACTTCATGAAGACGTATTGAAGTACCTCACAACAACAACGAAACCATTTTGAACTCAGGAAAACGGATAACTGGACAGTATCTGAAGGCAAGATTCGCAAATACAACCACGCAAATACAAAATAACGATTGTCCTCGCGAGAATATCGCAGATGGCACGGTTGTGATTGAATGCAAAATCCACTGTACTGAAGGGCACTAGCGAGTTGATGAGGCCTTTTTTCAGCATTGACCGCAAAATTGCCCTGAAGAGCATTTAGAAATATAAACGCAGGTCCCATCGAATCCTATTTTCCAGCCAATAAAGTCAAAACAATCCTGATGAGTAATTGCAATGAATCGCGACCATGTAACACAGTAGATTGACAAGAGAGTTCCTCGACAGAAAATTCGAAATATCGAAAATCCTTACTACATGAGACGCGACCGCGTCTCTCTGTCTCCCTGCCTATCACGAAATTCAATATAATCTGAAGAAACATCTGGAGAGGTCGGATCAAATTCGGAAGGGGTTGAGCATAAAGAAGGTACAGCTGAGCACTTGTGAGTCCATTTGACGGGGCACGCATTGGGCGGTACTTCGTATATGAGGTCATAACTCGATTCAACGAAAGCGTGGAGGATAGAGAAAAATAAAAACGAGTGAGCAAGGCCTTATGCGTGCTGGGCGTGCACTAACTCAGCGAAGTTCCGCCCNTGAAACGGACGCTTTCTAAAAATATGTATAACTCTGTTCAGAAACGTTCTAAAGCACGGGAAAAAAGTGGTTAGAACGAATGTGGTCCAATTTCCGAACTGGGCGGGTCTTGCTCTAAGGGGGCGGGGCTCTGATTACAAATTCATAACTCAGGAATGTTCAAAAATGAAGGAAAAAAATCTCAGAGGGTGTAGAAGAAATGTGTAAGATTTTAGAAAAAGCGGAGCATGCAGTGAGTGGAAGTAGCTAAGACAAAAAATTCATAACTTCGATGAAAACTTCCTAAAATGTAGAAAGAAAGTAATCGGAGACCATGGGGGGAATGCACTCGACTCCTCGAATTTGGCGGAATCTGCATAGAGGTGGACGGGGCTAAGATGAAAGATCCATACCCTCGTTTGAAGACGTTCTAGAAGGCTAGAGAAAAGCGATTAGAGTTTATGGGAGAAATGTGGTCAAACCAAGTAGGCAGGGCTTTTACTAATTGGGCGGGGCTTAGTTAAATAAAATAAAGATTCACGATTCATTCTGTACGAATACGTCTTTGATGTTCGAAGATCGCTCCATATATGGAGTAATCCTCATTACTTACTAGCTATAAAATCAGTAACATGCTTCGAAATGGGCAGTGCAACGAGGAAAACATCATAATCTACCTCCGAAAGCCCAAATATCGCGAAAATGGGCGAAGGTCACGAATAGGCCAACGAATGTGACGGATAAAACACAGCGGAGCATCTCCGTCCTTTTTGCATAAACTCATAACCCAACACAGCCTCTAGCCAGATTTTCGAGGGACGAAGCTCAGATGAAGTTCAGAGCAAAAAATTTATCCCTGTGTTACGTGTTCTTTNNTGTGACGCACGCGCTAGCGTGTGGCACCGATCTGGTATTTTATAAGCAATGCGAAAACGATACCGAGGACTATAACCCTACAGAACATTCTCTGGCCAACCAACTTATGAGTAGGCGAGGACACGCATGTGTTCCAGCATCTTCATCAAGAATGATTCGACAACACCAATTCCGTACCATCATTTTCTGTGAGTGACGAAAAGCGAAAAGCGAAGTGCGAGAATGTGGCATATGGAATTATCAGCAACACATATGCTGAAAGCACTAAAGTAACGCAAAAATCTTATCACAATTGGCGCAGCGTCGAAGCAAACATCCTTCGCGAGCAACTGGACGCACCGTGAGTTGCTGGATGCTTATGAGAAAGCCGCAGGTACCGCCACATCGATCAACCCCAGCGATCGGCCGATTCGGTAAAGGGAACATTTCTAACAGTCAAGGGCACAGGCAACACGACAGTGCACGTCGGAAATGTGGTTCAGAGACCTGTCATGAACTCACCACGGCTCGGCCGGTCCCAGATTGCTCATCTATCGCACTCTCACGATGTGCACTTTTTGATTACCATTTGCTTCGCCTATTTTTGTCAAAGAACTTTTGACAAAAACTGCGACTTTACCATGAAGTAATCGAAACCCCTATAAAAAAGGAGCACTGGCGGCAGTGCCACGAAGAATTATAAACTCATGCTCTGAGCGGTATCGACAGCACGCCAGTAACACGTACAACATTTGAAGGTGCTTCTGCTACAGGAGTAACACTACTACACTCAATAACTCGAACGCGCATGATGTATTTCCCGGCTGTTTGCCCGAAATAGCGAGGAAATAGCGATTGCAACAAACAAAGCGTCTGGAAATAAAGATTATAACTCGTGTGACATGAATATGCAATATCCACCAAAACGTAGTCCTCTAATGACCGAACATCATCACATTCTTGTACTGTGCGATAGAAAGTGAAAACCGATGGGAAATTTCTACACAATGATCGTACTGCCCCTCGCATAGAACTTCTAAATGGATCACGGGTAACTGGACTTGGAGCCAGGATACATTCACTTTTTTAGTGAAGCACGCGGCCAAATTTGTGGCGATTTGGACAACTCTGGGGTTCATCATTGGGCCGCATGCTTGAAGTAGAGCAGATTGGTGAGACCAGCTAATCATGAAACAAAACCTAAAGTTTAGAAAAAAGCAACTCTAATCATGCTTCTAAATCATCGGATGAGAGGACAGAAGAAGGAAAGCAAAAAAGGGAAGAAAAGTATACTACTGACCTGCTCTATTTCAACTCCGCAATGATAAATACCATAGTCGTATAATTCGCTATAAATTTCACCGAGCAATTGGTCGTGAATACCTCCAAACTGCAAATGTTCCGTTCTACACAAATTTCCATAGACGCAGTATTGGAGAAGCTTCCGCGTTGGTATCATGTTCTTGAGTGGTATTGATGTAAAAAGTGGTATTATTAAAATAATTCATGTTCCTTCAACTTCTCTTAAACCACGTACAAGACCTTCAATTTCGAAGCAGTACATTGATTGAGACACACGGGTCGAAACAAGACACAGCATAAGATTGTTTCAATACAACTAGTTTCTCAATACCGGGAAAAATACAATTTTCACCTGATGCAGCGAAAAAGTGTTTACTGAGAATTTTTATTTATTGCAGTCATTTTCATACTCATGACTTACCGTTAGATCTTTGTCACTCCATCTTTTTCCCATAAAAGTAGTTTTTATGCTGAGCACATGCAAAGTTCAGTTTCATAACTTGATAGAAATTTAGGGTTATGGAATATATAACATTATCACCATGAATACTTTCTTTTCGTTCCGCGTTATCGTTATCGTGTGTTATCGTTTTGAATCTGTACACTTATCAAAGGTGGAGGCACGAATTCGAATTGTTGTTGATTTTTAAAATCAGCAAGAAGAAAGCTTATTCGTGATCGGAATCTCAGTTCGTTGTTTCTCGTATGCACTTGAAAACATTATTTAAACATTCCTGAATGTAATTAGTCCCGCCACCTCAGTGCCTGTACCATTCTATCGTGACTCTCGTACGACTCTAATAAAGTTCGCGCCTACTCGGGTGTACGCGGAACCTAGCGCGCCTCCAGATATGCAGCGAAATGCCTGGCCTCACGCACCACACGACTCACGCTCGCTGATGCTCTCAAGTCAGTCGTCTCCGATTCTCTTGGAAGGAAAGTGCGCCTCTATCATCTACCGTAGCAGCCGCAGATTATCGAATCCACTCCGCGTAGACAAACGAGAATGAAGTTAAGACAGATATGAAGAGAGACGACCGGGCATGGAAGAATAACCATGAGCCGACCCTCCGTGAGTCTAAGATTAGGGCTTGATCCCTCTAAGCGTAGTAGGCGCAAAAAGCTATGTGTCACATTCCATTCCATTTCATTTTATTTGTGTGCATAGACGGCGTAGCTTTGAACTTATTGCTACCCCCTTTTGTTTGTATATTTCATGTTTCAATCGGGTTTGATGCTAAAGGTATTTTCATCATATTTATATGCATGTGAACACTAAGTTACACTAGGTCCGATAGCAAGTTGCCGGGGTAGGGTTCGCCACGGAGGGTAAAAAGGTTCGTAATTGTACGGCCTAGTTGCCATCCAATTAGATCAAGAAAGTAGGACAGTTAGGGTTTTTAGAGCCCAGCTTCAATAATCTATACCGCATGGTAGGTAGAGCACGGGGGGCACGTGCAAGCCATGAATCAATTCCGAACCTCGGTGCGCGACACGTTGCTGCGTACCGGGGTTCAACGTTAGGGAAACCCATGTTGGGTCTTTTAGTATATCAGGCCTTCAGGCGTACCGTAATACGTGTGAATTGGTTAAACACACCTGCCTTCTTTTGCATTCATACGCTATAACTATGGTGCATCCATCTTGGCTCCACGTAATTCCATGCATTCTTACCTGCACCGCTTTGTGGCAGGGCCGAGTGCGGGGACAACAGTAGAACACTTTGAAGCATGGATAACTCCGGTTGGGGGAGGTATGTGGAAATCCCTTTGAACCTGATGATGCATACAAATGGAAATCGAGTGAGCAGCCCAGAACAATCAGCTGCGTAAGGCCC